TGTTCACACTCGCTCCTGATGGTTTCAGCTGTCAGTCTCTCTAACGGGACGGTGAGCAGAACCGGATCTTTTCCCGTCTCGTTTGCGATCACATGATTTAAGCCGAATGCTGACGGTGCATGTGTGGCTCTGGGTCGTGGGCCCGTTGGACCAGCTGCTGTTTCTCCCTGGTTGGTTCTGAGGCCTTTAGTGGGGGGGGGGGGGGGGGGGGGGGGGGGTGTCTCAGGAGGTCATGTGTTATTGTGGGAACGGGTCCACAGCAGCTGACAAAGCACATCACCAGGTGAGGTCTCACTTTGGTCTTAAACAGGAGCACCAAATGATTCTGGTTCTGACCCATAAAGCAAAAACCACAGGACCTTCAGAATGTTTTTATTCTCAGATTTTATACTAAAAGTCCAGTTTTGGTTCACATGGGATCACAAAGACCTGTTTAGGTGTCATTCCAACTGTTTTAATAACTCTACATTCCCAAACTGGACCTGGGATAAAAAGAGGAATGGTGGTTCTTCCTGTTTGCTGGACTGAGACCACCTGTTGACCTGTGGGGTGGTTCTGAGAGCCGCCGGAGCACAGGGATGGTTTTACCTTTCCCTAACGAGCTGATGTGACTAAGGGAGGAGGAGAAGGAGGGGAAGGTTTCAGAACCAGACCCTAAAGACATCCACATGTTCCTTTATCCAAACTCAACTCCCGATGCACCCCGTCTCCCGTCTCAGGCTCCAATCTGAGAGGAGTCTGTGGCCTGGCAGCGAGTCAGCGCCGTTCGGGATCTAATATCTCCCGTCGTATGGAATTGTAGGAGACGCAGACCAAACAGCCCAGCCTTGGAGGCTCCGCTGGCTTTGTAGTTATGGGAGGGCCGGGAGTAAATCACAGCTAACAAACTGCCCCCCCCCCCCCCCCCCCCCCCCGATCCCAACACAAACCCCACAGCTAGGAGCACAAACTGGTTTTCCTCTGCAGCTGCAGCTCTGTGGCTCCGGCGTTCCGATGGATGCCAGCCTCCGCCTCAGTCAGCTGGCAGGTAAGTAAACAAAAGTAAAAAAAACTGGTAGAACGTCTCCTAGAGGTCATCTGGGAGTAAATCCACATCAAAGGCTTCATCTATTTAAAATGGATCATCTGATCATTTTCATCCATCAGAATAAAATAAACTCTTCTAATTCCAGATTTTCCCAGTATTCCAGCTTTTGTTTAACCCTTAGAGCTGTGCTCAGCCTCCCAGTTTAGGAGCTTGCTGCAGTGAGAACATTTCTTCATTCGTTCTCCAAGTCTTCCCAAAGTCACGTCAAACTTCCAACTCACGGAAACCAAAAGACGCTGGCGCCGTTGGTCGCCCTGAATCTGAGCTGGGATTTGATGATTTACGGATGAATCAGGCTAAACTTTTACTTCCTGGTGTTTTATTTTGGTGATCTTTACAGGTTTGTTTAATCTGACGGTCCAGGCTGTGAAATGTGACCAAAGAAAGGACCGGTCCCTCTCCATTGTCCCTGGAGTTTATCTGGAGTTGAGATAATGAAATGTGTCCCACCGTTCCCCCTCCCCCTCCCACTGATGAGCTGACCTCCCGTGACCTGGGCAGAGTTTCCCCACAAGACCTCAGAGCTCCGACTGCCATTGTTCCTTTGTAAGCTCGGAGACAATGATGAGGTTGGAGCTAAAACACTTTTGGGAAACCGGGTTTCCGATGAGTCAGTTAAGGAGTGTGTGAGGGGCTCAGAAGTCCAGGATGAGAAGTTCTGACTGTTGCTGATGATGCATCAGGACTCATCTGTTCTGCTGGTCAGACCAGAGAGAAGGATCCTGCTGGTTTTCCTGACACGACCAGTTCCTGCAGCACTTTTCCTTCTTGGGAGTTTCTCCAGTGACTGATCAATCGACCTCTAATCCGATCCTCGCTTTCCCAAAACCAGACGGAAAATCAATAGTTGAACGGGAAAGTTTGATGAACCGACGTCCTGACAAGTTTTAACTGGAACTACATTTAGAAGAATAACAAAAACTTCCTTGTTGTGGTTTTAAAACAAATTCCTTTCATTCCTAAAAGGAGTTCCTGGAATCTGCAGCTTTTAATCCAGACTTTTAATCTGAGATCCTCTGATGCTGAATTCTGTTTTTAATCTTTAAGGCAACAAAAAGCTCAGAAGTCAGGAAATGTTCTGAAATCCGTTTGAGGCGTCCAAAGAGCAGCCTCTGGGCCGTCTGAGGGCCTCAGAGTAATTCCGTGTGGCTCTGCGCTCCACGCGGAGCTTTTAGTCGTCCAGCGGGATAACAGAAACACGAGGAACAACCTCACACCGGTACTCGGATGTGACGGGTGCCTCGTTAACCTCAAACACTTCAGACAGAAGAGCTGGACGCCCACGGAGGGGCGAAACAGCGGGTGTTAACAGACACACACACACACACACACACACACACACACACACACGCACACACACACGCACACACACACAGGGACTGAAGGGCTCTACAGATGAATCTCGAAGTCCCACTTTTCTCTCCATCTGAAGTGACGGATCATGTTGGCGTCTCTCGAATCGTCGTGCCTTTTGCAGCCCCCACCCTCTTCATCCGCCGTGTCTAAATGGCCATTAAGGACCTGTTAACTCATGCCGGACCCGTTTGGGTCCAGAAGCTGATTCTGCTGCAGAGAGGAATCCAGGCTGGTGGCAAAAACCTGAACGTCAGAATAAAAAACGTATCAAATACGTAGAAAACCTACAACTAGAGACGCAGCGGCCCTGGAGTGTGGAGCTGATACCGTAGAGCTCCGGCCCGGTCTGATCTAACTTTTATTCGGGGGTGGGGGGGGGGGTCTGCTCGACCTGCTGCCTGAAGGTTAAAAACGATCATTTCATCATTTGAACAGAACGCATTTATAATTATTGTTGTTGTTTCATTTCAGTTTCTGCTGTAAAAGAAGCGGCAGGAAGCAGGACGGAGATCCAATCAGAGGTCAGAGGTCAGAATCAGGAAGCTGCTCCTCTGGGACTCATTAGGATCTGGAAAAGGTTTTAATTACGTCTCATTTTGTTCCCAGTTTGGTCTCCAGCTCCTCCTAAAGACGGCCCACGCTTCTCAGACTCTGACTCAAACTGTGACGACTTCCAGACGCGAAGGGAACGTTTTCAACAGCTCTGAATGTTTTGAGATAACACCAGCTCATCCCAGTGAGACACTGGAGTTCAGCTGTGGTTTATCAGTCTGGTGGGACGTCTCAGAGGGTTAAACTGGTTTTTCTAGGCCTCCAGACTCAGAGGGAGTTGGCTTCACCAAACAGGTGGAAGGGGAGCAGGATGAGCTCGGGTTTGAAGACATTCACACTTTTATTCCAGCGTTGGAGTTTACTCAGCAGGAGTGGGTGGTTGTGGCGGTGAAGGAGGTGGAGGAGGAGGTCGGTGGTTGTGGTGAAGCACTCCTCCCCCTCCTCAGTCACTCACCCTCTCCTCCAGCCCTCCTCCCTGTCCCTGTACGCTAGACTTCATCGGTATTTGCTTTTAGAAAAATGCCCCCTCCCTTTGAAAGCCCTCCACCCCTCTGCACACACACAGCAGTCAGTCCCCTTCCAGTATCTGCTTCATTAAATTTTCTGCAGATTTCCAGAAAAGAGGCAAAGAAAAGAAGGAGCAGATCAATAAAGTGGGGCCTGGGCGCCGAGGCCATGTGTGAAAACGGGGTGTAGAGCCGAGGACGGGGCTGGGGCTGCAGGAGATGAAAGTGACACGGTACTATAGGGTCTCCGAGCTGCAGAGCCGAGCCCCTGAACTCCGGCTGAATGAGCTGAATAGGCTCATCCATTCTTCTCTCCTTTCACTCTCGGTGGGCCGAACTGTTGGAACTCTTCATTCCTCACAAAAGCCAAACGCACTAAAACTTTTGCGGTTTTCTTCTCATGCAAATCAGCCTCAGCTCTGACTTGCCTCATCATCGTGTGGAGTGGAAAACACACACATGCATCTTCTGTCTGTGTGTGTGTGTGTGTGTGTGTGTGTGTGTGTGTGTGTGTGTGTGTGTGTGTGTGTGTGTGTGTGTGTGTGTGTGTGTGTGTGTGTCAGCTTAGTTCTGCAGCTCAGTGACATCAGAGATGAACAATAAAGATAATATTTTTCCACATCTTCCTCATAAATGACCACAAATCCAACTTCCCATGTTTAGAGCCCGCCAGATCCTCACGCAGAAGCATCACGTGGAAGAAAATTACAATCAACGCAGCTTTCTGATATTGTGCTGCACAAATACACATACAGAAAAACACAAGAGGAATCTCATTTCCTAAAAGGAATTCTTTCCTCTAACCAGGTTTCAAACCCAAGTTTCTTCTTTGTGAGAGATGATGCAGAGGTTTGTTTGAGGTCAGAGGTCTGAGCAACTCTCACACACACATCTGTCACACCTGAGCCTCGTGTCTGTAAGACTGAGAGACACCTGTTGTGTTTTCTGAGGTGTGTGAGCCGTGGAGGCCATCTTGATCTGGAATGAGTCCAGAACTTAATCAGCTGTGTAGATGTTCTTCCTGATTGGTCCATCCAGCGGTTCTACAGATGCTTTACACACACACACACACACACACACACACACACACACACACACACACACACACACACACACACACACACACAGTACGTGGAAAGTGGGGCTCGTGAGAGTGGGGATCATTAGCAGCGCGCGAGGCTGAGTGTTTGGTGACTTCAGAACAAACAGCAGTTTCATCAACATCATTAATGTCCCGGATGCTGCTGAGGCTCTAAAATCGGCTCTGTCTCTAGTTAAAGCCGTGAGCGCGTGAGGATGAACACTTTTGGAGGTTCGAAGCCTAGAAACCCGGCCCGACTTCTCCTCCTGAGGATCGGGTTGCAGGATTTCTGGGATTCCTGTCAGATAAGTTCAACGTGCGGATCAGACGTGAAGCTCCAACAGCCTCATCTGCCGCAGACGCGCAGGAGGAGAGCCGGGCCGAACCAAAACTTTAAATCAACAGGAAGTTCTCCTACCTTCACTGACCCGGTTCTCCCTGCAGCCGAACCTCTTCCTCGCTCCTATCTCCTTTTGTGTGTCCGGGGAGAAACTTTGTCTGGACTCCGTTAAACTAGAACCAAACCGGAAGCGACACCGGGCTTGACTCGTTTGTCCACGAACCGAGTAGAGAAAAGTTTTGGACCGACTTTCCGGGTCATTCCACCTCCCTCCGTCCCGGAGCGCGATCAGTTCAGGTCGCCTCGAACTTTTTACTAATCCATCCTCCTCCCGATTTGCGCACTCTGCGGGGTTTGCGCACTTTTGTCAGCAAACTGACATGATGCGTAAAAAGTCCCGAGTGCGCCTGAAAGTTTGGACCGGAACGCGCTCTGGCCTCTCTCTCTTTCTCGGAGACATGCGGTGGTGTTGAGATCTTCAGGCTGCTGATCTGTTTTCAATCCGACCCCCTTCTCCCCCTTTCCTACCCCTTCACCATCCCCTCCTCTCTCTCGTTCTCTCTCTCTCTCTCTCTCTCTCTCTCCTCGCGCTCCCTGGTGAGTTGGGCCATTTCATTTGCTGCACCAGATGGGCCGGGCCAGCTCGGCCCAGAGTTTGGTTCCTGAGGAAACTTCAATAAAGTTTATTTTATGCTGCGAGCTCGCTCAAAGCTTTTCGTTTTGGGGGATTTTCTGTTTAAATTTCACAGAAGACCAGCTTTCCACCGTGTTTGGGCCAGCGGTTTTGAGTGGGTGGACGGGTAATTAAAGAACTCTGGAACATAAATACTGAAATCCCTCCGTGTTTATTTAGAAAGAAAACAGACAATCTTGGAGTTTTTGTTTATTCTCGTTTGGACTTTTTCATTTTCTCTGAACTCTTTTATTTTCTCAGGATTTATGAGCTGCTGCTCAAACAAACCTGACCTCGGAAAACCTCCGCTGCTCTTCACGTGTGTCCACGTGCATAAATAAGTCAGAGCAAAACTATCAACTCACTACTTTACAGTTTTCTTGTTCTGCTGATGATGCATCGCTTCATAATTACATAAATGTTGAGGGAGATTTGGTGTCATCTGGCGTTGAAGCGTCAGACTGCAGCTAACAGGATGAGGAGGGGGGCTGAAGCACTTCTGAACTCAACCCCAGCACCCAACATCTCATCAGTGACATTCATGTGGACCCGATCATCTGGTCCTGCTAACTCTTTCTTCAAATGTCAAATTAAATCTCAGGTTCTGGTTTCCGAGGAATCCGACTTTCTGTGTTTCATGACTGACAATAAAGCTGATCTTGAGATGATTTTCTCCTGTGTGACGGGGAGGCGGTGTCTGCCTAAAGCCTCCTTTCCACCGGACATGACAGTAAACTGTACTGCGCTACAGTTAGCAGTGGACTGGTTCTTTTCCACCGGTAGCTAAGTGGAACATTTTGGTCCCAGAAGTGAAGGGACACTATCGTTACATTTTGAGGATATTTTTTATGCACTGCGCTTCCAAACCACGCCAAACTCCACAGCTGATCAGTGGAACGACCAGGAAACTTTCAAAATAAAAGTCTTGTGCAGTATGCCATTTCCTGGAACCCTCATAGCCGATGTAAACAGAACAGATAAAAACCATGCAGCCATCTTTCTCATTGCTTGTTATTGTGTGGACTCATGAAATCCTGCGTGGTGTTGCAATACGGAGCCTAAGGCACGCCCATCTACTTCAGGAGAATGAAAAAATGATTCAGACTGTCGGATGCTGGATGTGCTGCCAGAGGCGGTTTTACCATTAGGGCGGCCGCCTGGGGCCCCCTTGTGTTGGGGGGCCCCTAGCCCTGACCGCCGGCACCCCTCTGTTAATGCCACAATACCAACCTGTGGCCGCAGACGGGATTGGACATGCGCACTTCTCATTACCATAATTCCTGAACCGTTCAAGATATAATTAAAATTCCAAAAGTGCTGAAAAGATTCAAATTGGAGCTTTTCGTGCATTTACAACACATTACGGTAGCCACCGGGATTCCCTGTCTTCAGCGCAACGAATCACAACACAGATTCAGAGACGTGCTGTTTGTCGTCCAAAATGCTCCGTTTTACAACTTTTGAATGGCTGATCAGATCCAGAAACTTCCAACGGTTCCTAAAAGTACATAAAAGCAGCTTTCCAACGATCTATAGCATGAAGCAATCAGAGTTAGGGAAAATATCGCAGAAGGCTTATATCTGAAGACAGTGACCACGAAGAAGGACAGATCTCCAGTAAACCAGGGTATGAATGTTTGTTCAGTCTTTATATTTTATTTTTTTATTTGAACAACCCTCAACTATTTGCTAATTGTAAGATTCAGCATCAGTCCAGCATTATTTATCTTTTTACCATAAATAATTATTTTTGCTAAAACAAAAGTTTTTGGTATAGCAGTGCACGGTGTGCCAGAGAAGCACCCAATAGCGGTGTGAGGTGTGCAGGACTCTGCCTGCAGCTGGAGAGAAACTGCTTCAAGGTCTACCACATCAAATAAAAATGTCTGAAAGTTTACCAAAATAAATGGTCTTAAAAACTGCTACAAGACACCAAGGTTCAAACTTTTTTAAGAATAGATGCATTTCAGTTCAAAGTTTAAATTGTTTGTCCAGTAATTTTGAAGTTCCTGTTCAGTAATTAATGTAAAAAAAATCAAATCCATTTTTTTTTTTGCCTTTTTCACTTTTAAGCTGATTTTTAACGGCTTTAATAGAAATAAATTCTAAATGCAAACCATACACTGAAAGCTGAGGTTGTTCTGAAAAAAGGAGAAGAGTTACACACACTTTGCACTTTTTATTACAATTTTACAGCCATAAGATTAAACAATTACCAGGCGGCCCTGTTATAATTATGGTCATAAGAGGGTTATTAAGACGGCGATGCACAAACAGGAAGTGATTGGTAGTCATTCCACTCCAATCCAGTTGGTGGCGGTAATGCACCAAATTGTTGTTTGCCAAGTGCCATAAGACCACAAATAAGAAGAAGAAGAGAGGCGGGAGCGTTCATAACAAACTCAAAGCGATAGTCAAAACATGAAGCATGAAATGAAGTTATCCTAGTGGCTCCAACAAGAGAAAGAAGCAGCTTGCTTCATAAAAGCTTTTATCTTCACTTCTGAAAGTGACGTCGTTTTTCTATGTAAACATCAAAATGAAGCAGAAAGGAAAGACAATGGAAAATGTTTCAAGGGAGGAAAACATAGACCAAAATGGAAAATAGAAAAAAAAACTAAGGCAAAAGCACAGGAGCACTGACAGGAAGAAGAAAGCACTCAAAGGGAGAGAAAAACAGGAAAAAAGAGGACTAATAAAAAGGGAAAATAACTCGTGTCAGAAGAGGGGAGAGTTTCGCAAATCCAGTTAAAGGTAAGATTGTCGAAAATTTAGTGTAAGGGGCCCCATGTCTGTGTTCGCCTTGGGCCCCCAAATTGCTAAATCCGCCCCTGTGTGCTGCCATCTATTGTCCCTGCATCATGCCTGAGTGGATCCTCTCAAAAGGAATCGGTGCACATGAGTAGCCGCTGAGCACGTGCACGCCCGCAGAAACAAGGCTAGACGTCCGCTTCAGGCTAAGCGGCCTTGTCACCAACTGGAATTTTAACAAGGCTGTTTCTGTGATGGAAAGGTTTAACTGGGAAGGAACGAAATGTCCAGGAGGAGGAGGACAAATCACCTCATTTAAACTCAGGCTCAGATATTAGTAAAAGATTTTGTTTATTTGTATCTCAAAGTGAACCGTCTCAGATAATTCAGAAAATTAATCAAATAATTAAACTTAAACTTGAGTGTTTTACCTTCTGAACATTTAAGGTGGACTGGTTTATTAGGGCTGTCACAAATTGAATTCTCTACAATATATTTGGTTTAATTTGACTTTTAAATGTTTCTTCTAACTTTTCCACAGCATACATTAAGTGCTGACTCATCTCTTAAAGAAGATCAAACACAAACTGAAGAATATCTTTTCACAATCAATATTTTTGTCCTGGACAGGAAGTGGCATCAGATGACAGCAGAAGTTAGAGCTACACCTGACCAGGTAGCATCTCCTCTGCAGGACCAGAAGAGCAACTTCAGAAATATTTAATCTCCACAGCATTTTTTAATCTATTTCATCAGAATTAGTTTCCCGTCCGGTGCTGATCCAGCACGTCTGAAATGAGAACATTTCAAAGTGTTTGCTCTGGTGTTGTCGATGTGAGTTCCCTCATGGAGATCTGTTTCTGGTCCACCCAGCTGTGAGTGGGAACCAATCACAGAAAATAACCCTAGCCATAACCACCCTGTCACCAAAAAGTACGTTCTGCATCATTACAATTTAAAACATTACTCACCATGTTTATGTTTGTTTTAGGGTCAGGGTTAGGAAATGCAGTTTTTGTGAGGGGATGGTTCCAACTTGCAGAGGGGTGGAAAAGAAACAGATCTAGACGAGGGAACTCAAATTGCCATAATACCAGCTGAGTGTGAAGCAGCTGTGGTCATAAAACACAGTAAAATACTGGTGTTTTCTTTTCCTCCCATTAATATTAAGTTTTCTGTGGTTTTCCTTCAAAAGTTTAAATTATTCTGATTTATCTGTCCTGTCACATCTGAACATCAACTTTTTTAAAGCGTCTGTCTTTCACCAGTCTGAGCTGAGGGCCACAAACAGCCCACGAACCACACCTTGGACACCCAAGATTCAAGGTGAGGCTCATCTCTTAGATGTAAAATAGTTCAGACATTAAATCTGTGGTGTTTCACACACACACACACACACACACACACACACACACACACGCACGCACGCACGCACGTGCGTTTCCTGTCTCTTAGAAGTAGTAAGTACATTTATTTCGATGGCACATATCACAGACATAGAATCACAAAGTGCTTCACGTAGATCCAAACAAAATAAAACAGTCATAACATCACAATGATCTCAAAACAGAAAATAAAATTATAAAAGTTCATAAACAGTTGTAAGATCAGAAATTTGAGTTAAAAGTAATAAAATAAAAGGTTTAGATAAAAGCAGCTTTAATAAAAGGGTCTTAAGCTGTTTTTAAAAGAGTCCAGACTGTCAAGGCTGCGTGAGGAAAGTTTCCAGGAAAGGAAGATCATTCCAGAGTCGGGGTGCAACAGTCTGGAAGGATCGATCACCTTGACTTTTACATTTGGTCTTTGGAACTTCTAGAAGGTTCTGGTGGGCGGACCTGCGGGCTCGGGTTGG